AGCTTGCCTTCAAAATAGATCAGACAATTATGGTTTTGGATTAATTTGAATTCATAGTTTAATCTTGTAAGTTTTAATGAACAAACACTTGAAAATGTTATGCTTTTCTGTATTTCAGGAATCTTGTTAAGGTGCTAGAGGAGAAAGAATGTTTCTCGAGCAAAATTCATCGATTACTTAACAAAGTATAAAATTTTTTAATTTAGTTGATCTTAAAATAAATTAACATGCTATTTTTTTCTTATAATCTCAAAGCATAACAGCCTGCCACATTTTTGTATGGAAATTTTATATAAGTATAATCTCAGATATAATTACGAAATTTCACTTTTCTTATTAAACATATATTATTATTGTATTAAACGTAATAAAGTTTGCTTGCTTTACATATTTCGTCCATGTTTGCAATTTTTAGCTAAGTTCGAGTAGTCATAAATTATCTTTTTATATTGTCTTATTAAAATTTAGTTCAATGTAGTGAAGAGCATGCATCACTCTACGATGTATATCTTTGAATTGTACTCTTTTCCTACTTTGAAAATACCCGCATAAGGACAAAATTTTGAAAGCGGGCTGTTTTGAGTTTTGCTCTTAAATGTTTTGCACAAGTTCTTAAATGCAAGAAATGTTTCCTAATAATTCAATTTAGATTAGACTTTCGAGTTCGGTAGGATTTCCTCACATCGACGTACTGAAATTCAGATCGATGGGAAACTTATGATTTTTTATAAAAATTTACGATTTCTGAAACAATAAATTTATTAATAAGCCTTGAAATGGAGTTAAAAACTTTAATGTCATTGCTTGTGAAACTGGCAGCGTAAATTAGGAAGATCCTTCCAATGGATATGCAGCAGTGTTAGTTTGCTAGAATTACTAATTCAGAAGTCAAACAACAAAAATCAGCGTTATATTTAAAAAATTTTCACAGGACTAGTTTCGATGGTTTTACCGAACCATCATCTTCAGCTGCAAAACCGCAAATGAAAGGGATAGGAAATAATGTTTAGATAAGATAAGAAAGCCTGGACAAGAATAAGCAAGTGGCGCCATCTGTTGGCGAAACCAGAACTAAAACATAATTTCTCTAAAAGCCGAAGGCAAATTGGGTTTGGAATTAGGATCGTTAACTAGAACAGAAAGATTTTTATGAATGTGAAATGCCTCTAGAAAATCCAGTTCTCCAATGGAAGATGTTTTTTGAATAATTTTGGCAGCAGAAAAATTGAAAGTGTGATTTTCGGACCAACAATGCTGAGCAACAGAAGACTTCTGTGTTTCCTTTTTTCTAACATATGCCTCATGTTCTTTGACGCGAAATTTTAAGGCTCTCTTAGTTTGGCCAATGTAAATTAAACCACACTGGCAAGGAATCCTATAAATACCCCAGGAATTCATATCCGGAATGGGGTCCTTCAGTATGGAACTCGGAATTTTTATTGATGGGAGAATAAACAACCCGAAAGTTAAATTTCTTCCTGCAAATATGTGCAACTTTATAGCTAATTGATGGAAAGAAGGGAATGACAACAGAATTTTTATAATCTCCTACAACAAGAGTGTGCCTTTTAGTGTGTTGAGATGAGAATTTTTTAACTGCTTGATTAATGATGTTGGGTGAAAAGCCCCTGTCAATAGCTATTGCTTTTAAATAATTTAGTTCTTCATCAAGGGCTAGTTTGGAGGAGCAAACTTGAAGAGCACGGAAAACATAGGAATAAAATGAAGCTAACTTTTGTTTAGTCGGATGACATGATTTAAAGTGTGGTGGAAGGCAAACCGATGAAGGTTTACGGTAAACTGTAGTACTGAAGTTGGATATGTTACGTGTGACCAGAATGTCGAGAAACGGAAGAGAATTGCAAGTCTCAAGTTCAAAAGTGAACTGAATAGCAGGATCAATAGAATTCATTGTTGAAAGAACTTTATTCAAATCATCTTTATTACATTCAAACAGGGTAAAAGTATCGTCTACGTAGCGGAACCATGCCGGGAATTTTTAAAGTTTCAAACATTTTTGATTCATAATAATGCATGTAGATATCAGCCAGGATGGGACTGAGGGGGCTTCCCATGGCTAATCCCTCAGTTTGCTTGTAATATTTATTTTGGAAAACAAAATGTGTTTGTTTCAAACAGAGTTGAGTGAGAGAAATTAGCTCATCAATTTCGATACAAGAGAAATGAAATTCGCGAAGTCTGGTTTCTAGACATCTTAATGCACCCTCCACTGGGACATTGGTGAATAATGATTTTACACAATCAAAAGAAACCATGAGTATATTACGAGGAGAAATGTTTTTAACCTTTTTTACAAACTCTATTGAATTTTTTATGGTGTAAATATGTTATTGTCTAATAGAGTGGAAAATCTAGAAACTAAATATTTAGCTAATGGATACGAGGCAGTACCTAAATTTGATACAATAGGGCGGAAAGGAATACCACTTTTATGAATTTTGGGAAGAGCATATAATCTGGCACAATTCGCAACAGATGGGATAAGTGAATGTTTTAAGTTGCTTGAAATGATTTGCGAAGATTTGATCGCAGTTTTTATTTTGGATAAGTCCGAAGGTGAAGGATCTTTAGGGATAGAATTATATGGTCCTTCGTTTAAGAGTTTAGTGACACCATCGATTTAAGTGTTGTTATCCATGACGACTATCTGGCCACCTTTGTCGGCCTTTGAAATGACAATATCCGGGTTAGAATGAATCTCGCGCATTGTTGCTCTTTCTCTCGCAGTTAGATTTGGTTTCAAAGGTTTATTATTGAATTTCACATTATGAGCGATAAGATGCCTAATCATTTCTTTCTGTGAATCTGAAACTTTACTGAACTTGAAAGCTTTTTCGATAGGAGCCAAAATCTTTGGAATCGAGGGTTTTACAGGTTTGTGAGAAGTTAAAATTATATTTTAGAATTCTCTCTTGTTCTTCTGAAAGACTAACATTAGAAATATTAACTATTGGCTTGATGTTTACAATGGGAAGATTTTTTGAACTACTTGAACTGGAAGACTGTAAAAGAAGTTTTTCGAATTTAACTGCAAGGGTGTTTTTATGACGGTTAACTGCATTCTCCGTTCTAGACCAAGACTTTTGTTCAAGGGCAGTGAATTTTTGGATATGTTTTAGCGAGTTCCAGATGAAGCTTATAGAGTTCATGTTCAATTTTGGACAATTGTTGACGTTATCCCTTATCACGGACCGAAGTAAGGCAAGTTTGCAATTTAACAGAATTCTTGAAACGCGACTCGAAGGTTTTTGATTAGATTTGATTTGAATAAAATTGGGGATCAATTTTTTACATTTACATTTAAGTAAAAAGTCAAGATGATTCAGGAATTTTTGCCGTTTCAGGCGTAATTTAGTGAAACGATTAACGGATGAAGGCATGATAAACAATGCAGAAAATCAAACTAAATTAACTGAGCAATAATAAAGTACACACAAAATAGCAGAAAAATCCCTCACTGAAATGAATAGAAAACAAAATGTTTGTAAGCAAAATGCATGAAATCAGACAAGCAAAGCACAATATCCAAATGTACAAAACATAAAAATAACTTGAAAATTGCAAAAATTATCTTATCTAAACATTACTTCCTATCCCTTTCATTTGCGGTTTTGCAGCTGAAGATGATGGTTCGGTAAAACCATCGAAACTAGTCCTGTGAAAATTTTTTAAATATAACGCTGATTTTTGTTGTTTGACTTCTGAATTAGTATTTATTCGGCGTGTTATTGTGTCTTAATTGCTAGAATTAGTTATGGTGCTTATGAGTCTGGAAATAAAAGTAAAGTAAGCACACAGGATGGGTGTAGACCAATATCAGCAATGAAGATTATGGAATTTAATCAATACAAGACACTCATGATGCAATGACTGAGTAGGAAAGGGGAACGTGAGAGGAAAATAATGATGAAAATAAAATGAAAAAAAGAGATCAAAGTGAGGCACTGGAATGTACAGACAAATTGTTAGAATATCTGGATGATTAAACTCATATTAAATTTGTAACATCACAGTTTCAACATGGTGTACTTAGAAAAAAACTGTTGAAAGTTTTATTGTTATTTTAATTAAATGTCATTTTAGATATTAAAATTTAATGTTATTACGGTATCGTGTAATATTACAGTTGCTTTATTACAATATTTAATTCCATATTTAGATAATGCGTGTCTTTTTGAGAGCTAGTATACCTGTCGTTGATTAACATGAACAACACTGATAAAATGGAACAAAATTATCAGCATATCTGTGATTGATCGTAAATGGCTTTAAGCTTTCTATATCGAGAATTCTGCATGTTTGTTGAAGAATTTTTCAAAGCTTGCATTTCAAATGCTGGTGGAAAAATCCAAGAAAACAAACCTTATGCAAACAGCCCTTCGTCGGACATCGAACCCGAGATAAACTACCAGCATTCACTGATATTACTTATTTAATCAACAGGAGTAAAAATATTACGAGAATAAAAGACCTTTTTTACTTGAATTTTACTCAAATCCAGGTCTTCGCAACAAATAGAAATTGATACAGAAAAAGTGCAAAATAGAACAATGTTATATTAAATTTTGTTTTTTAAAATTTGCGTAAGGATTATTACAAAAATACAACTTATATTATTTTGGGCAACTTTCATTAGTAAAATAACAACTCGCTAAAATGAATACGCAAATCAAATTATAAAAACTACAAAAGGATTATAAAAACTACAAAGGGATTATAAAAACTAATTTTTATCTTTTGTTTTGCCTTCATTTCAAAATGAAAATAAAGTTATATACAAGCAGCAAATTCTATTAAATGTAAAGGTAAGCTTTTAATGAGCTGCTTTATCTTTGTTCTGTAAAAACGTTTTTTTATATCAAGAGTATATTTTCTATTTGACAATGTGCCAGACAAAACTACTTCTTATTTGGTATTTACGATTAAAATTCCTTCAATAAAACTGAGAACATATATAAAATTCAGACGAAGTAAAGATTTAGTTATACACAAATATTTATTACTGAATAACAACAAAATTACATGTTTATTTTATTTTCAATCCAGTCCATATAATTTGATACCCGTGTATAGACTCCAGGATATCCTGGCTCTCCACATAGGAATCCAAAAGATGCAATACCAACCAGAATCCATGGAATATCTGATTGATAGAAATGCAGATTCTGGTAGTTGTTCTTGTACATCAAAGGTCCGCCAGAATCACTCTGCAGGAATAAAGTGTTAACCATACATTATATTTAAAATGCAAATATTATAAACTACTTAAAATATTTGCGCAATTGTATTCAATTACATGTAAAACATTTATTGCTTTATTTAACATCAAACAGCATCTACAGATTGGCATTCTTAAGTCAAATTCTAAAAACTTGGTTTACACATCTCTCATTGCAACCTTCCCCAAAATTACAAAGCCCGTAGTTCTTTGTTAATATTTTATAAGGCATTTCTCCCGCCTTCATGGCTTACCTTCATTGAGGTCAGCACACTCGGCGCGTATTCGAGAGGTCGAGTGCCGGCGAGGGATTGCTCATTTTTCAAGTCTTTCTGCTTCAAAAATCCCAATGACTGTATAGTGGCCTCTGAACTAAAAAAGGTAGTGAATGATGATTCTCCACCACCTGGATTTAACGATTAGGTCTCCTAATTCCCAGTTGCCCTTTAAAAAGGAAAGTATATAAGGTATTTCACCCGCCTTCTTAGCATGCTTCCGAGGTGTAACGGGCAGCACGCTTGGCGCGTATTCGAGAGGGCGAGTCCCGGCGAAGGCGTTGCTTATTTTTCTTTTTCTTGACACTGAAAATAACCTAATGATTCTACATTTTCAGGATAATTTCTTTTTGTTATTGTCGCAGAAATGGGAAAAAATAAAAATTGGGAATCTTTTTTATCTCTTACTTCTAAAGGATCCAGATGCATAATTACACAGACAGACTACGAAGCATAATTTTGGCCACCTTCACCTTTGCTTGTCTAATAACCTGAGCTAGTAATACTGAAGTCAAAAAGATTCTGAAATAAAATAAAAGCAAGAAACAGAACATGCCTTTATGTTACTATGAGCATTCGGGCAGAATTCTCTACAGACGAATAGTGCAAAACTTCCGTAAACATACAAAACGACAAAAATGTTGTTCCTAAAAGATTTAAAAGATTTTTTTATTAGATTCCATTGCTATAATTGGGAATGGCGTATATATTGGATAACGCATATTGTATCTATCCATTTGAGCTGACATCCTTGTCAGAATGTACATGAGTATATGGGGCATATTTACATCCGTGTAGAGCTAGCTAGAAGTCCGATAATTGGAACAACTGCCGTTGCAGTTTTGAATTGGTCAGGAAACGCCTTCACTGGAACCAGCTCTCAGTACCAGAATAGAGGTTAAGATAGTACTGCAATGAAGATCGGCAGAATTATGAGGAACTCAGGTGGCAGATACGATTTAAATCCAACAAAACGGCGCAACGGCAAGTGTAAATATGAGCGCATTCCACCACGCTTCCACATGATACATTGAGTCACATGATGAAAGACCTTATAGCATCGCCTAGTATATCCAAGCAGAAGAAGTACATCATTTTCAAGGCACTCTGATGTCTATATTGTCCGTATTATACACCGCAATAAATGCTTATGTGTATACTATTATTTAACGATCACATAAAGTTACTACAAGTTCTTCTGTTGTTCTTTTAAATTTGGTACAGTAGGTTTCATTTTCTCTATCAACTTATATATATTAGGTAATCGGATCCGCAAATGTCCTGGACTGCTTGAAACCTGACTAAATGAAGAACTAAATATACAGAAAAAAACAGTAATTGTTATCCACTAACAAAAATATATTCTCCCTGTTTTCAATTAATAAAATGCGATTAATAATTTCAAATATCCTTTGAAATTTTTTAATCAAAGCTTTAATTAAATTTCAGATGTTTAGTTATTACTTTTTGTATATGCACTTCACCACAGTCGTCGTTAGCTTAGTTGTTCTCCCTGCCTCATAAGCCCATTGCTCAACATTTGTTAGTAAATATTTCATTACCTAGTTCATTAGTGTTCGATTTGATGCATTCAGTTACGTTGACAGATTCTAATCCACTGAAACAAGCTGCAATGCAATTTGGTTCTTTGTATTATTTCTGACTTCTGTAAGACGAATTTCAGAACCAGTGAAATCATTTGCACATTATAGTTTGATTTGCTTTCATATTGTTTGTCGTTAACTTATGTTATGCTTCACCAACATTTTGGATAACATTTCTGATATTGTATAGCAAATCTGCTATTAGGTTTTCATTACTTCGTTACTCTGTCATTAAAAAATGCAAGTAAATCTAAATAGGAAATATTTTTGTTTCTGTTTGAAGCTCATTAATTATATAGGTCTTTTCCGAATTACTTGAACAAGCAGGAATTTTGTTTTCAAGAATAGCAAATATTTAAGAAAGAAATAGAATACTATGTTCTACAATACGACGTTTTACTGTGGCTACATTTTCTCTTCCCGTGTCATAAAAAAATTATTTTCTAAATTACAGAATTTTTTTGAAATTTCATATTTATTTTAAACTTATGTTAAAGTAAAAATTTATTTAAAACCTTCTTTTTAATTCAACTAGTTTGTATAATTACTAGGTTTTTTTTTGTAGCAGAAGCCGTGAAAAATCTGCAGTGCCCTCGCCGGGACTCGAAAGGGAGAAAATACTTTATGCGAGTATACTCCTCATTTTAAAAGGCGACTGGGGATTTGAGGACTCATTCGCCAAATCCTGGTGATGACGAATCATTGTTCACCACTTTTTAGTTTGGGCACCACTTGTACAGTCGTTACGATTTTTGAAGCAGGAGATGTAAAAAAATGTGCTATGCCATCGCCGGGACTCGAACCCTGGATCACTCCAATACGCGTCGAGTATGCTTCCAGTTACACCACGAAGGTATGCGGAAAGGAAGAAGAGAATATCTTATAATTTCATGAAAGTAAAAATTGGTATCTATAGTTTTAACGTATGCATGAAGTTCATTATAAAAATTGTAATTATGATTTGACAATGTCTACAGGCTAACTGAAAAGGATTTCAATATTAAGCGTATATCCTCCTTCAAATATCATGGCAGCAGGTCTTAATTTCTGAAATTAGAACTTCAGAAGTTATGTAGAAAGCTGTCAAGAAAGTCAAATAAAGAAAAATAAATAAAATAGCAAGTAATTAATAATTAAAATCAAATAAAGTGTTGATCGAAAAATCAACAATTTGAATTAATGACAGGTAAAATACAGAAGCTCATTCTATTTGAGGCTACGGCTTGAATTACGATTTCACTCTAAAGCTCAGAAGTACGAGAGCTGGGTTCCTGTGGACATGGCTGAATTTAAGATTGCCTTGCAGGCATCGATGTTTTATGTAAATATAACTGAACTGAATTTAAAAATATCAAGGCGTCAATAATTACAAAAGTGTACCAGCTTTCATGAGATCTTACAGTCAAGAGTAAGATTCATATAGTATTCTTTATGTTTCAGAGTGAAGCATAACATAATATCATTTTTAGTTCAAGATTACTTTGCAGGATAACAATAATTGTGCAGATAAATAATTGCTGGCCAAAATGTAGGTTGTAATATAAAAAGTTCAAATATATTCAGTTGTGTGTTGTGGCTGAGGGTTTACACATACAGAAGTTGTACAATGTGAAGTAGACAGGATATTTCAACATTTTCTGTATGAAGAATCCTCGGCACATTTTGACATGGATGTACCACTTTTCCTTTCCAGTAATAATACTTAACTAAAAAGACTTGCTGAGAGTGTTCACAGTAACGGGAAGCAAAGAACCGTATTAAGTAACAAACTGATTCTTATTGTGAATGGTGTTACTTTGAGATACTTCTGATCTCAACTTTTGGACGTTTTCAATATGTTGCAAACTCAGGTTTAACCCCCATCAATATTTGTGGCTATTTCGCAAGGAATTAAATTGTTGAAATATTTTTCATCAAAGTGCGAAAGATAGCTGTAGCATAGAAAGTCATTTATTTCCATCTCAGAACAAAGCATTTTCAGACTCTCATCAGGAAAATAGCATCCTTTTCATACATGATATAACTTTTCTGAACTTAAATGAGGATCACTCGTGCAGGAGAATGTGTAGAAAATGAAACTTAGTGTCTACTACTTGAAATTCCACACTTCAAGAAATGAAAAGTAAAAAAAAAAAAAAAAACCGGAAAGAACACAGTCGCACAATGCGACCTGGAAACATTACTTTTATTTTGATATATAATTGCTTATGTGCACAACCACTGCTGTGCTGTAAAAATATCTCTTAATGGAACGATACGAATGCATGCATCAAACCCATATAATTGCATTAAAAGAAAAATAAGAATGGCAATAGAGAATGGAAATTGTGATGAATTGTTATTTTAAAAGCAAGTAAACGTACCTGGCAAGCATCTTTACTACCTTTGGGTAATCCAGCACAGATAAAATCTTCAGTAATTCCACTTGATATTGATCTATCATATAGTTTGCTGTAAATTCGCCTGCACTCTTCAGTAGGGACAACTGATATATCTTCTACGACATGCAGTATCGGTATGATTGTACCTTCTTTTAAGGAAAAAAAAAAGACTTTGGAAATGTAATTCACTCGTCCCATTTATTAATAACAGTATTTATCTCTAAAATAATAAATTACTCAACATACAAATTTCAGTATATACATACATGACTCTTAGCATATAGTATATGTCATGGAAATTTTTTTGTCTTAATGGTGAAGGCATATGCTCTCAGAGTCAAAAGGAAATGATTTTTTTTCCGAAGATATTAGTATTTCTTATTTTTTATGTGTACATATTTCATGTTTCCTATTTTTATTTCCTTTTCAACCGTTTCGGGATGCAGACAAATGAGAGTGGAAAAGATCCTGATGTAACTTAAAAACAGTCCTACACAGTGCTTTCATTTAGTTACAATAACAACCAGCGTTGCAAGTATTAATTTCATGAAAATAAGAGTCTAAAAAATCATTGTAACTATTGAATGCGTAACATTTTTGGAATGAATATAATGTTATAAATAGAGAGATGAACCAAAGTTTGTTGTATGCGCAGCGAGTTTTATTAACAGGGTGTCCCGTTAATGTTCCAACAAACTTCTGGGGAGGTAAGACACTTCAGAAGGATTAAGAATTGCAAAGGAACCCATGTCCGGAAATGTCAAGGGGAAGTGGGAGCAGAGGTAGAAGATGGGAAAGGAAGCAAAAGAGTGATTAATTTGAAACATTTATTGGACATGAATACAAATGGTGTACGAGAGCTTGAAGGTTACAACAGATGCTCGAAGTTTGCACCATCAGACACCAAACATGCCTGACACCGACGGATCATTGATTGCCGGATATGTTCAAATACCCCGGGAGTTTCTTTAATTGTAGCAGCTGAGCAGGCGAGTCCAGCCACGAGATCCATTCCAGACACAACAGAATCGTGATACACGACACTTTTGATGGTTGCCCACAAAAAGAAATCAAGGCTGGGTAAATCCGGTGACCGTGGGAGCCAAGGAACCGGACCACCACGCCCAATCCATCGATGCGGAAATGATCTGTTCATTTGGTACTAACATCCAGTCCTAGATGAGCAGGCGCCCCATTATGTTGGAACCACATGTTCACAAGCTCTACGTTCGTATAGCGTTCCATGCTCTTCGTATGCTGCTTACCGGTCGAACGAGGCAATCCTCGTTTCTCACTAGTACTCTTCTGTACAACACCTTGTTGTGCAATGACGTTTCTGGGCCGGGGTTTCTATGCAATTCTTATTCCTTAGGATGTGCCCTACCTCCACCTCAAGTTTGTCGCAACATTTAAGAGACACCCTGTATATATAATGAAATTGAATGCGAAGTTTAGAAGTCATATAAACCTTCTTTTAATAACAGGCAGACTAAAACCTCATTCTGGATGGCAATTTATCTACCAGAATAAGCCATGTATTCAGTTTATTTGAAGTGAAAGTTACTCGTTTCAGTTTTGAGAGCGGCTTAAAAGAAAGGGAACATTGATGCTACGTATCGATAATTTGGAATGAAACTAAAAATCATGTGGCAGATTGTTATTTTTTGCATAATTACAGCAATAAAGTAATTAAGCAGAGGCAGCTTTAAGACATAAAAGCATACGCAGTATCTCAGCATCGTGCCTTCAGTAAGACCAGTACTTTACAATTATATACTTCTTGTTCCACAGCTAATTATCAAGTGCTCTATAGATATGGGGAGTGGCAAAAATATGAGGATTATAAGCAATAACTTGAGAAATGTTTAATGTGCCTCTTCGGGCAGGACTCAGTGATTTGGTTTATAATTTGAGATTAAGCAAATATAAGTCTCAACTGCTGCAATCAAGGATACAGGAGACGAATTTTTTTCGTAGTGAAAGGCATATTTCCATGCATTGCAATCAAGATAAAAATATTGTTCGCTTTGATTAAAGATGTATTTTTGCAATGATGAGGAGATGAATATTCTGCGTAAGGATATCTGTATTTCCATACGTTGCGATACAAACAGTTTATTTATTTTACATAGTCATTAGGTTATTTTGAAGCAGAAGACGTGAAAAATATGGAATGCCTTCGCCGGGACTCGAACGTTGGACCTCGTCGAGTATGCTTCCAGTTACACCACGAAGGCATGCTGAAAGGAGGGAGAAAATACCGTGTCTTCATAAAAGCGACAGGGAGATATCTTCTACTACGATATTCCCAACTTTTTATCTTTTCTCGTTCTATATCCGAAGCCAGAAGAAGGTACTGTTTAGTAAGGCTTCAAAAAAGGAGTTCTGAAGAAGTGCACTGGCATACATTAGGAAAGACTATAGTTCCATGCCTTTTAGATACATGTCAGTGGAGAAAGAGTATTATGTTATCTTGGTAAAGTTACACGTGCTTAATGAGTTCAAAATATGTGGTGACTTTGAGTTCTTTGTCAGTAAGCTACATTTAACAAACTCATATTTCAAATGCGAATGGGACAGTCGCGACAAGTAAAAAACCACTATTTAAGGAAATAGCCTTGACGGTAGCCTTTAAAGCCCAGTACTGAAAATGTAAATAGCTAACCTCTTGTATCCGCAGTGGACCTGCTACTGTCACTACTCAACATCAAATTGCGATCAATGAACATTTTCGTAAAAGCATTGTACGATGGGAGGGAGAGCCAGGCATATATTTTTATTCGAGATTTCTTCCCTTCGATGCCAGAGCTTGTCATGACTAAACTGACAGCTTATTTATTGATTCAAATATGTGGAATTGCAGTTGAGAATACATGTACATTTTTCAGAAATTAGGAACAAATGTATGGCTGTTATGCATAAACTCCTAAAAAATATTAAAACCGCTTTCTATGAGATGATTTAGAATTTGTTAACAATTTTCAAAAATTACACTTCAAGTCTTCAAACAACGTTTCTTTAATTTTTATTTTTATTTTATTTCTTGACGACACAGTGCCGAATACAGTGATTTTCGGATGTTGAACTGATAATGTCATACACAGTGAACAATTTCATCACCAGGTATCTACCACAAAGCATCGTTACAACGAGCAGTGACAGGTAGCAGTATTTACTGACTACTGCCGGTTAATCAAAAGAGATGAGCCTGACAGATAGCATAAAACTCAAAAAACTGTTCCCTTGCAATATTTTAATAAAGTATGTTCTACTGTCGCAAAATTTAAATTCCTTATAAAGTAACATATGCAAATATATAGTTATAATATCCAATTAATTTTACCATTATGTAATGCGTAGAATCAAATCCTTTATTTCATAAGATTAAGGACCAACTACATATTTGCTTCATCATGTTTATATACCCTATTCAACTGATATATCAATTTGAAATGAAGAAAAGTTTATCTTTGCTGATGATCTACTGGATCTAAGGTTGTAAGGAGCCCAAGTTTTACTAACGTTTATTTTATTTTAAAACTGTACTATCACTTCTTATTTTCTACTTCCGGCCAGAATTAAATGCTTTAACTTGTTAATGCAAATTGTCTTGCTAACGCCAAGTATTTAAGTTGTGGCTTTTTGCCAAGAGAGAGAGAGAAGGAGTTTTAGGAAGCAAGCCGCTTGCCTCTGTAGTTTTACGAGTTTCACTCTGTTGCTGGTTGCCTTTAAGGCCAGAGGTTTAGCCCTCTTGATATTTGCAAACGTATTGTAGTTTCAGCAGCTCGGCGTACTACATACGTACCTTTTTACTTCCTTGTACGAAGTAAAAAGGAAGTATTGTAATCGCGAAAAGCTTCAGACAGCATATTTCAAAGAAAATATCCACTTTGACCGCTTTCGAATGCAATTTAACGATGTTTTTGCGTGATATCTGTACGTAAGGACAGAATAAAAGACTCTTTTCCTCCAAAAAAATTAAAAAACTGCTTTAAAATTAATTCTGAAGAGAATTTTTCGTGGCGTCTGTACGAACGTATTGTACGTACGTATCTCGCATAAGTCAAAAACGAGTAGCCTCAGAACTTTGAAATTTTGTATATAAGACTACTACAACATGTAGATGTGCACCTAGTATTTTGGTTTCAATCGGCCTCGCCAAATGTATATAAATATATTTATAAATATATCCACTCTGTTACCCGGCTCAGTGATCTCAGTTTCTTTACTCTTATATGTAAGTTGTACATTTTTTCTTTAAAAATGATTGAATTATGTTGTTTTTATCTTCCGGTTAAGGGTTTTATGCCTTTAGTAAATCTATATGCAATATTTTTAGAATTATCAACAACTTTAAAATTCTTTAAGTGCCGCTAAACCTAATTTGATGGCGGCCATTTGATGTTTACATTTGAAACAGCTGAGTACCGGATTTGTTGCCAATCTAGAGAAACTTAGCTTCGCAACAACAAAGATAACGCCTTCATTTATTATTCAAATCATGGAATTTTTTCGAGGAAATAAGCGTTTAAGATTTACTTCTTAAATTTTTATACAGATATTTTGAGTTTTTATGTATTTTTGCCTTGTCGCGAAGTGAAAACTGAATTAATTGAATGAGAAATACTCAATCGTCTGTGAAAAACTGTTTCTTTTCTGTTTTGATTGCTTAATTTCTTTTAAACATAGTTCTAGCTTTAGTATTTGAATAGAACATGTGGCAACGATAATTCTTTAAATGAAATAAATTTTGTGCATTCTGAGTTATAATATGAACGAAATATAATACTGTTAAGTAAACCTAGCGCCAGAGTGTCGCTATGGTAAACAAAGTGAATTTTAAAGAATGCTTAAAGAAAGAAGAATGATTTTAAAGAAAGTGAATTTTAAAGATTCTATTGTGGTTTATGCGCTGTCGGCGAAGTAGGTTTAATTCAATCTAATAAGTTTAAATGAAATGCAAGAAAAAATGCGTATAATTTAATATTCCATACAAGGAAGTCATGTGGTGTACACATCAGATTTTTTAAAATAAAGGCCAGTCTTAGTGCTAGGCATTCGTATACTTGTTATGGTGAAAACGTCATGGTACCAAAAAAGGTTTCCTACTCTGTTGACAAAACACTTAAAATTTTTCAACAACAGTAATATACTAATATCAATAAGCCCTGTACATTTGCGTTGTGTTTTCGGATTAACCCTGAAATCAATTTGAGAATGAGACGGGTGAAAATCATGAGCACACACACAAAAATTTAACCTTTGAATGATCTAGAAAAACTTATTTATTTAACTATTAATGCCAAT